CAGTGAAAAATTATTAATTGATAAAAATAACCAACTTATAGTTAGCTTTTTAATTATCTATGACACAACCAACATAGAAGTGAGTTGTAAAGTTATATGTTTTCTTTAAACAATTTTTTATTTAGATATCCTCATATGCAAAAATTACTTTGAATACATTTCTTCTGCACTTCATAAATGCTTTTTCGAATTCCGGACAAATAAAATGAAGATCGAACTTTCATATTATCATTTTGATGTTATGTCTGACGGAGTTCGATTATGTAATTTTAAATAAATTATTTTATTTATTTATTAACATGTAAAAAATTAAAAAAGAATCGCGTGCACTTTTTCTTATTGATATTTTATGTAGTAGTAAAATAGTTATTTACAGGTTAGTAATGTAGGGCTATCATCAGGATTGACTTTTTCGGCCATCGTCCTACAAAGGTGGTTAGCTTTTTCGAACAAGATATGCAGTAAATAGTCAGCACTAGGTTAAAGTTACATTTAAGCTAACATACAGGAAGCAGCAGGGTTCTAATATACATACATACATACATACATACATACATATCGTCGTTTAAAGTACAAAACCGCGTAACTGACATTTTTTGGCAAAACTAGAATTTGCTCACACAAGCTCTTGGCGCGAGCCTTATCCATTCTTCATGAAATATACCAGCCAGAAATGCGATTGCTTTATAAAAAAGAAATCCATTTTGAAATGTGAGTGTTTTTATTACCCTCTAGAAAATAATTTATGCAACCTCACATACGCGGTTTTGCATTTTGCTGATACGCGGTTTTGTACTTTAAACGACGATATGTAGCTACACGTGTACATACATAAACGCATGCATGCGCACCTATTGCCAAAGCAAACAACCACGTTTTTCTCATTAAGGGCAGTATAAAGACACCTCCAACCGTAGTTATGTATGTATATGTATGTTCTTCTTTTGCGCAAATCCATATGTAAAACTAGGTGTATGTTAAAATTACATTAAGCTGATTACCAACGCCGTGGAATACTGACACTTTACACACTTTGAATGTCCTTAGAGAGTTGGTTGAACTTAAATGAGGTCAGTTAAAATTGTATGCGGCGAGCCTAAATTGAATTTAACGTCAAGAAATGTGAAAATAGTTAATTTAAAACAAATTATTTTCAATGCATGAATAGGTAAAAAATATTGTAAAAAACATGAGGTTTCTTCTTCGGGGTAGTTCACTTAAAAATATCTGTCCATAAAAAATGTAAACCGAAAATGCAAATAAATGATTTAAAACGGTTTTATAACTTTACATTACGTACTCAGCTGGCGAAAAAAGTTTACGAAAACGCGAAACGGTGGAGAGAAGAACTAAAAAGATTTAAATAAAGTTTAATTATGGGACGTTCCACGTCAACAAAGACAAGCTTCTAAACAAAAATTGTTTTGATGGATTTAAGTGTTCTATTGCTTAAAATATTTGCACATTCGTCATCTCTTGAATGCCGAGTGGCGTTTTTTTCGCAAATTTCAAATAACGATGCCAATATGGCGGATAAATGGTATTAAGTGCGAAATCTTTTAAATATCTTCTTCAATAAAAATCCGGGCAAAACTTAAATTATTCTCAAATTTCTTATCCAACAGTTTTTGGTGTCACTGAATGCACCTCTGATGCTACATTTTTAAAATTCAAAGTGGCGGACAAATTTTTGGAAATCGACTGCATGGGCTTGAAATTTTTTGTTCGAGAGTTTTTGGAAGTTATTTTTTAGAATATGGCGGACAAATTTTTGAAAACTTATGGAAATTGGTCGAAGCTTGTTTCTCGGAGGTTTTTCAGGTCGCTGATTACGAATTTGAACCTACTTTTCGGAAATTTGAAATCGCTTTTTCAACTTAGTGAACAAAATTTGAAAAAAAAAATACATCGGAGTTACTTAATACTTGATTCCAAACAGAGTACGAAAATAAACTGTACAAAACAATTCCCATTTGCTCATCGATCATCATATCATTTGTGGTTTTGTACAGTTTTGTAAATAGTCAGAAACAAATTGTAAGATTCACTGTCATTTTCCCCAACGAGAAACGTTTGCTTTTCGTTTGTGACAATTGTACCATAGGGTACGTTTTATATGTATTCAAACGTTGCAATTACGTGAAAATTATTTTTTTTCTGTAAATTTTCATATCCAATTCAATTAAAAAACCTTTTTATTGTTTTTATTCATTGCAGCCATTCGTATATATTTTTCTCTGCACGATTCATTTCGTTTGTTGTTCCGTCTGTAACTACTAAACTACTGTAGTGTACTATCGCCAAAGTGAACTCAGCCGTTTTGTTTTCGTATTGTACCGAGCTGTTGAAGTAATAAACGAAACGAAATAGTAACGTACAATACAGTTTATTTTCGCACCCTGATTCCAAATGATTTGTAAGCAGGGATCCCAAAAACCCCCGAACAAGAAATTTTTAGCACATCCAGTCGATTTCCAAAAATAAATAGCGTTCGTTATATCGAATAATAATAATAATTTGCATTAGTAATATAGAAACATCAATAAGATAGTGTTGATGATTCGTTTAAACCCAAAATTCGTTATTCCGAAAGTAAATGAACTTTTCAAGCTTGTACCATTTTTATATCTGCTTTAATCAACTAAATCTTAATTCATTTTTTTTTTTTTTTTTTTTAGAAAAAGTAGTGTTAGCATGTATTTTGGCCACCGCTGTATAGTATGCATTGCATACATTGTAGCTGCGAATATTTTATGATTCCAGTAAAATTGATTGCACACATTCACAAAGCCGTTCGAATTTTATAACTTGATTGCAGTGATTAACTGCAAGCATAATAATTTCGGACGTTTCAAAAGGCAATAGCTATTATCGTTCGTTCATATTTGGAGTTAATTTAATAATGCAAGTCTATATATCATCTGTATACACACATATGATATGGATATGATACAACATGCATATATACATGCATATGTATGTAAGTACAAATATGCTACATAAGCACTGCATACATGCACGTAAGTACATATGTTTTTACCTACATAGACATCGTTTTCATCTGTAGCTTGATGTGCTTTATGACTAAAAATAATCTTATACTTGAAAAAGAAAAGAAATTTCTCATTATTGTATCTAAACACAAATTTCATTAGTTGTCTAAAACAGAGCTTCATACGGTTTGTTTCGTAGAAAAGTCACCGGGGTTCCGCGAAATTAATTTCAGTATGAATTAGCACGGCGGTCGGTTTGGGTTGCACACAGAAAAAAAAGTTCTATAAACAGCTTGACCGAGACTCAATTATCTATTTTCAAGTATACATAGTATGTACTCGTAGTTGGTATGATTGTCGTACTGTGTGAGTGAATGTAGGTATACTATTTCTAGTAAAAGTTTTTATTCATATTTAAATTGCACTGCCTTTGATTTTTAGTAATTTGATGTGGGGTTCCATAAAATAAAAAGGTGTTAAGTAAGGGTTCCATCATCTTAAAAGCTTAAGAACCCCTGGTCTAAAACGTATAAAAATAGAATCATGATATGGAAATTACATTCATGTCAACGTTTGGCCGCTTTTTAGAGCTGTAAAACTATCGATGGTACTATCAATACTTTCGATAGTCTTTGTTTGAGGAAATGGACATATTGTTTATTAACCGACTTCCAAAAAAGGAGGAGGTTATCAGTTCGTCGGGATATTTTTTTTATTTTTTTATGTATGTTACCGCATAACTTTGGACCACGTCAACCGATTTCGATAATTCGGAAAGGTAGTGTCTCAGAGGTGGTCGTCCCATACTAATCTGGTTAAGATCCGATCAGTGGATCATGAGATATATATATATATATTTTTTTTTTTATATGAGAGTTGAAGTCGGTTTTGTTTTTGCTAAAAATTACTTGTATTATATGTACTACTTAGTATGCATTTTTTTATTTTTGAAAATGGGAATTTGGCAACATTGATTTGCTTACACATCACTATTTTTTACCTATTACCGGGCTTTACACGGTTCAAGTATTGAATTCAATTCTGCTTGCCAGTGGAAGAGAGGGGTTGAGAAGAAAAGGGAAGAGTACATAGTATGCGTCTTTACCGTCAACAGGTTTCAAGTTTTTTGCTTTGCTTTTGACATTTTCGTTTTTTCCCATTTCACGAACCAAAAACTGGAATTCAACAAAATTTAAGCATGTAAAAGCAAATAGAAAACGCAAAAAAACTAGTTTAAATATCTTTTTGGAACCATACTTATGGGATTAGTGATTCTGCGTCGATGAAAGAAACTATTGATATACGCCAGGGTTAGTCTTGTACATATTTCCTTTCGATACTTTCAATGGAAAAATAATTATGTAGAAGCCGGGGTATGGTTCGGCTATTTGTACAATGACTTTTCCGTAAATTTTAGAGTGAGTTCTATGCAAAAATACTGTGCCAGAAATTCCGCCAAATTACCCACAGTGCACTGGGCGTATGAGTTACTATACTGGATGCTTTTATCGCGATCGTACGATTTCTTCAATAATTTCGTACATGGAGTTTGTGGGAAGTTTTTGTTATAGTTTAATATAATTAGTTCACAGCTGAAATAATTTTCACGTTTTCAATTCGAAAGCAAATAATGTAATGCATACATATGTCTATGTGTAACAACCCATAAAAATTGTACTTTAAATACACTTTTTTCTGCACTTCGCAAATACTTTTTCGAATTCACGACAATTAAATGAGGTTCAAACGTTTATATTATAATTTTTATGTTATGTTGTTTTCCTTATTGATATTTTATGTTGACATCTAATGCAGAGGTAACAACCCTTGACTATTTCGCGCCATCGCCATAGAAATATAGTTGGCTTTCCTAAAAAGAAAATATACAGATAATAGTGACCTTTAGTTCCTTCCTAATCAGCTTCAAGTTAACTTATAGTTAGATACATTTCCTGCAGGGTTATAAAAGAATGTGGAGAGATAATAGACAGTTTGTGTAAACGAACATAACGAACATATCATCACCTGAAATGCAAAAAGACGTAACAAAGATCGTAGCTGAAATCCAAAAAAGTCGTAGGTAACTAATAAAAAATTCAAAATTCACTTTTTTATTGATATGATGGATATCATCGAATTACAAATCCCCGCATCGTTTAATGAAAAAATAATAATATTAGTTACGACTTTTTCCATTTCAGTGACGATGTTTGTTACGTCTTTTTGCGTTTCAGGTGGCGATATGCGCATGTATACCGTATACTGTTCGCCTACAATTAACACAGAGAAAACGGCAAAAACTAGTTTTTTAAAGAGAAATTGCACCATTTATCTAAATTTAATTGTGTCTATATCACTGATGCCACATGTACGGAAAATTCCCTACTTGTAGGGATTCTCGGCGCTAAAAATGCGTGTGTAGGGAATAAGGGCAGATTTTTAATATATCTTAAAATGTAGTTTTTGTGTGTATGTATATTGAACAAGAAATTTTCCGCAAGCCTGCGCATGTTACCCCAAGATAGGCGAATTTATATGCATACATACATACATATAAGGGATGTTAATTTTTTCGAAAAAAAACTTTATTTTTAATTTTTTGAGTCCATAGAGGCACCTGGCCTTTGACCCCTTTGCGACACGTCTTAACCGACTCTAATCGGGACCAAAATTCATATGTGATATCCTCGTCTATGGTAGTATCGATTTTGGGTATTAGATGAAAAAAAAAATGAATTTAAATTTTTTGAGTCTCCGTAGAGCCATCTGTACTCTGCCCCCTGTGCGACATGCCTTAACTATCTCCAATCGTGACCAAAAATGTATATGTGATATCTGTGACCGTGCTATTACTGATTGAGGGCGTGAGACTGAAAAAAATTGTTCATTTGACATTTTTAAGGACCACCCTAATGTACATACATATTTTTGTGTGTGTGTGTGGCTAATTTCGCTTTTTGTTTTAATTTGTATTTTCAGAATGGAAGTTCAAACGGTGAACAATCACCTAAATAACTCCCTCATATCACCGCCAGCTTTATCGCAATCGCAGCAAACTCAATTGAATAGCAGCATCATTACGCTAAGCCGCAGCAATAGTCCGGCCAGTTCGAATTCCGAAATCGAAAAAGAGCTGCAAGATTTGGATTTGAATAGTTCGCTGAATAGTGGCAGCGTAAGTTTGGGTGCTGAGCTTAATTGCAAATCAAATGGTTCGCTGAGCGGTGCCTCCGCCACAAGTTCGACCACGGGTCTCACAACGTCGGTGACCACAGCCGCAGCAGCAGCAATAACGACATCATCTACTGAAGCATTAATAAATGGCAATGGTACCGATACAACAAATGCTAGCAATAGCTCAATAACTACTACAGGTGCAGTGACAGCAGCAAATTCATTGGCACAGGTGAAGAAGCGTATTTCTAGCAGCCGAACACCTACACGCAAAGCGAGACGAATAAAATTCTATCGCAATGGCGATCGATTCTATCCGGGTATTACCATTCCAGTCTCAAATGAACGTTATAGGTGAGCTAAATAAAAGTTTATGCAAACTCAATTTGGTATTATTAATATTTAATTTTTCTATATTTTACTGCAGATCATTTGAAAGCCTTTTTGAAGACTTAACTCGATTATTAGTGGATAACGTAAAAATTCCAGGGGCTGTGCGTACAATTTATACTATGTGTGGCAAAAAGGTGAGTAATCGAAACATAATCCATTCTCGCGATAATACTACTTGCATTTATTTTTACTTATTAGATCTCCTCTTTGGACGAACTAGAGGACGGCCAAAGCTATGTTTGTTCCTGTAATAACGAGAATTTTAAGAAAATCGAATACAACACCACTTCACAACCACTGGCCAACTTAACACTCTCCAATAAGGCAAGCAATCGCTTGTCAAAGGCCTATCGTCCATCGTCGCCACTTAAGAATGGCACGAACTCGTACAATAGCGGGGGCATCGGAGTACCTGGGGGTGGCATGGGCGGTAATGGCACAAATACAACATCTGGCGCCACTAACGGTAGTCCATTGTTTAAGCTGAGCGAACGCGAAAGCGTCGTACATCCCCGTATAGTAACGTTGATAAGAAATGGCACCAAGCCACGAACCGTAAGTTATTTTTTCGTATAACTATTTATTTAACTGGCGTAACTTCGCAAAAGAGGTAGACAATTAGCGCAATTTTTGAAGCAAATTTTTTCAGCGGCGATAGTGAATAAAACAAAATCATAACAAAAACATGTCCAGCCCTCTACGCAATTTAGATTTTAGTATTTTTGGCAGAAATCTGTAATATTTTATGATTCAAGCTATCTCACAAAATATCACAACCGCAAGTATTGCCGTTACAAAGTTACGAAGAAAACATTTTTTTTATTATTATTAATTTTTATGACCGCAAAAATAGCTTACTGGGCTGTCTTGGGGTTTAGTACGTTCGAAAGTTTTCATTGATATAATTCTTCAAAAGTAAGAACTATGTGCAATAAGCGGTATTTTGGTTTCTACATCAAGGCACACCACCATTAGGTTTTAGGTAATCCGCAGAATATACAACGGGCTAATTACACATTTTTCATCAGTTTGAAAACATTTTGGTTTAGTTACAAATTCTTAAAAAGATGTTAGCCGTTATTTTACGACTTTAAGATTTTACAAGGTCTATGACATCTAGTGAATCCCCTAATTGTGTAAACGTCAATCCATTATATTGTTATTATTATTATTATTTATTCATTCAATTAAATGCACACACTTTTTGTCTTATTGTACATAGATAATGCGTCTTTTGCTAAATAAACGCAATAGCCCCAGCTTTGATCATGTACTAACAGCCATCACGCAAGTTGTACGCCTCGATACTTATGTACGTAAAGTATTTACCCTCTCCGGCTGTCCAGTTGTGCAGCTAGCTGATTTTTTTGGTCCCGATGACGTTTTCTTTGCCTATGGCACAGAGAGGGTCAACAATCCAGATGATTTTAAACTCGAACCCGACGAACACAAAGCCATACAAGCGATACGGAAGTCGCTACGTACAGCAGGAACAACATGCAAGGGTCCCAAACCGAAAATGCCCGTAAAGAGTAAAAATCTGAATAGCGCCAAGCATCAACAAAATCACCAGCAAGAGCCATGTGATCAGATTGTCGACGAAGATTTGACAGCGTTAAATGAGAGCGGTATAGATGCAAACGAATTGCCTGGAGTTATACGTGAACGTTACGCATTGGGACAGATTATAGGTGATGGTAATTTTGCCGTTGTACTGAAGATCAAAGATCGACAGAGTGGCTTGCCATATGCGCTGAAAATTATCGATAAAAGTAAATGTAAAGGCAAAGAGCACTATATTGATGCCGAAGTGCGTGTGATGAAGAAGTTACAACATCCACACATTATTTCATTAATCATAGATGTCGATCAGATGTCAAATATGTATTTGGTGCTGGAGTACGTAAGTGGTGAGTCTTGTGCATGATTTTAGTGAAGAAATCTTTTTGATTTGGGAATTTATAGGTGGTGATCTTTTCGATGCTATAACACGCGTAACACGATTTTCCGAAAATCAATCACGAGTGATGATCAAGCATTTGGCCTCAGCGATGGCCTATTTACATTCCATGAGCATTGTGCATCGTGACATCAAACCTGAAAACCTATTGGTAGATATTCTATCTAGGGTATTTGAAAAATGCCGTAAAAGTTGTTCTTTATTTTTCAGGTTGAGTTAGACGCTAATGGCTGTGTAACCGAGCTAAAACTGGCTGATTTTGGTTTGGCCTGTGAAGTGACTGAACCATTGTACGCCGTTTGTGGTACGCCAACTTATGTTGCACCAGAGATACTAATGGAAACAGGCTACGGTTTGAAGGTGAATTTTAAAAAAAAAACATGTTATTTTGCACTCATTTCGTTTAGGAAATAGCTATTTGAAATTATATATAACTTGCTAGCTATGCTATGCTAATCGCACATTGAAAAAAAATAAGGAACTAAACTTTGATTACAGCTTTGTCTCTAAATTGAATTTTTAGATAATATTTGATATATTTTTTGTTATTTATTTTAATGGTTATTTATGAGTTGTCGGATTTTTTGAGTTATGACGCACTTCCAGTAAACAAGCGAGTTGTAGAACCCTATTTTAAAGTAATAATTATAAAATTAACTTCATTAAAGATCGATGTCTGGGCAGCTGGTATTATATTATACATCCTGCTTTGCGGTTTTCCACCTTTCGTTTCACCCGACAATCAACAAGAACCTCTATTTGATGCCATTATATCTGGAGTCTATGAATTCCCGGAGCCCTATTGGTCAGATATTGGAGATGGTGTACGTGACCTAATTGCGAACATGCTGCAATCGGATCCGGAAGTGCGTTTCACCAGCGAGGACATCCTTGATCACTACTGGACTCTCGGCGAAAGTAATGAATACAGCAGTTGAATTTGTCGCCTAAATGTGGTAGAAAAAAGGAGGGGAGACGTAAACAACAAAAACAACAAGTTTTGCATTATAGGACTAAAACTAGAATAGTTGGCAGTACTTGTTTTTTTGTCCACGTAAACACTTTGCTTTAGTTTTAGTACCGTGTATTTAATTGCTTATAAACATTAGGGGTATACATATAACATGATAACCTGGCTATGAACGTGATAAAATTATAGAATTGTATGGAATTTATAATTTTATCAAGTTTATCGGCAGTTTATCTCGTTATATGAATACCCGTATTATAATTTACGAAGATTAATTATATGGGAAAAATTCAAGCTACATACATACGGCAATGGAATAACGTTAAAAACAAGAATAAATACGAAATTACTGATAATTTTTGTAAGCACTGAAAATGTTATTGCGAAATTTTTTAATTAACAACGACTTAACTAAATGCGTGCATATTAAAAACACAAACTTTCATACATATAAACATATTCACATAAGCATATGCATATAGTATGTATGTATGCTTAGTATTTTATTAGACTATAGTATTTATAATTTAGTGCTTCTTTATGCGAAAACCTTCGAAATTTAAACAGCTAAAGAAATTCTGACAAAATAGATCACAGCACTTTTAGAACGACGAAAATATGAGTCAGAAGAAATTTCACACCTCAAATGAAATTATGTATATCAATTGAAACACAAAACAGCGAAGCGCTGTTGAAAGAAAAAACACCAATCAATTAATTGCTGATGCTAATTCTTGTATATTTTTTATATAAATATTTTCTACTCACTTTTTATTTGTTATTTTGTATTGAAATATTTACCTGTTACTGTCCCCCGCTAATATTTCCTTGCAGAACAACCTATGTATTTCACCCTTTGGGTATTATTTTTCATTAAAACGTTTACTGTTCGTACTTGCGATAAGGGCTTAGCTGTAAAATATTTTTATGTTTTATGTCATTATATTTTTTAGTTTTCATTTAAAATGCAAAACAAAAAATCAGAAATATGTCCTTTAAAATGCTATTTATGTAACTACTTATTAGAGTTTTGTTTGCATATCTTATTAAATAATTATTAAATAACCCAAAACAAGATTATTGTATTATTATTCTTAAAATATTTTAAGGTAGTTTCTACAGCAAATTTTTAGTATCGTAATGGTTTGAAGACTTTAAATTAGTAAATCATTCTAGAATGCATTGATTATTGAAAACACTATCAATGCTTAAATTGCGCTGTATTATCATTTCAACAGCACTTCAAAAGAGTTGTAAATTTTTACTTTATTTTTAGTCACAAATCTAAAACTGATCTTTCGAAATTTTAAAAACGTGTTAGTTCTATTTTTTACTTTTTATGGTTGTCTTTGTTAAGCGAATGGTCTCTGGAGTTGTACGTATGTATGTAGCTTCATATTTGTTGTAAAAAACAGTTTTAGATTTTTCTTTATATTCTGTCCAAATCTACATACATATGTACGTACAGGTCTATAAAATTCATTGAACTCTTTTTCTTTTAAAGTAGCTGATAGCGAATGAATATTAACCTTAAAAATAAAAAAATATTTAGCGTCACACAGGAAGTTCATTTATTCTCATACATATAAGGGCACATACATATACCATGTATGTACATATGTACGTACATGGATACTTATGCTTAAGTAGTATACACTTCTCCCAATATTATTTCTTGAGAAAGGTAAACTAGCAAAAAACCAAGATGAATATATAAATAATAAAAAAAAACATAAACATCATGATACATATTTATAAACGTTTATTGTATTTTGAAAAATGAAATTTTACATACATACATACATATATAAAATATATAGCGAGATTCGAAGCAATTCGAAATATGGCGAGCAAAATTATTAGAAAGTGCTAAAAGCTATTGAAAATCAAAAATAAAGGAACACAAAAATAAAATAGTTGTTTCATTTTCTTAATCCGGGTTCCGTATAGGCCTCACAGACTTCTGCAGCTTTTCCTGATAAATTTCGAAATGTTGAAACGAAGTCAACTGAATGCCCATGTTAGAGGCTTCCAGGCCCAAGAAACGTGCAGTTTCGATTCCTCTCCCGGAATGGTGATAAAGGGTTAGGGTTGCCAGACGTACTGCTTTTGGGAGTAAACGTACCCCTTTTTATTGCAATGTACTCCATTTTACTCCAAAAAAAAACATCGGGAAATGTACTCTTTTTATTTTAGTTTTGTACTCCTTTTTCCAGCTATTCATTTTTTATCATATACAGGGTGTAAAATAATAACTATCGCACAGGTTTTTTTGCAAAAGAAAAGGGTCCTTTATAGAGTTTGCTACAACAGTAGACTCTACGTAACCGGACAGACCCAGGTGTATATTTGGCAAAATACTGTCACTCTAGCTGAATCGAAAAAAGCTCTTGAGAGTTTTTATGCTGTTACAACAGAACCCTCTCTGGGTTAAATGAGCTTTCAGGATATGATCTGTCTCTCTAATTTTGAACAGTCCGTTCTGTCAGTAAGGATTTGTATTCCATTTTAGGTATCATTTTACGCGGTTTTTTATGCGGATTTGAATTTATGCGGGTTTTCAAACCATTTTTCGCTGGAGCGCAACCCCTGTTTTTGTATGAAAGCAAAGAACTTTTCTATGCGGCTTTCTGAAGAACGCATATACAGCATAAAAAATACCTAAGTGTAAATAAATATTAAGTAAACATTAACAGCCGGTTTCACCAGTGATTTAAATGGAAAATGATTTTTATTTTCTGTCAAATTCCGTATAAAATTCAAAAAATTAAAATAATTTTTCACTTAAATTGCTTTCGTGAAATCGGCTGTAAAAATTAAATAATTTAAGAATTTTGTGAACTAGTAACATTTTCAGAGACTTTGGAGAATATCCTATCTTCGCGTTTTTGAGAAATTGCATTCCAAACTTCAATCGCGGTTTCCCACAACCTGCCGAAATCAACATACGACAATCTTTTACCCAGGCGACGGATTGGGAAAAATACGTCAAGCAAGGGAAAAATTATAACAAGGCAACACTGCTTATTGTTTTCCCAAACAGCTGATTGAGCAGTTTTCCGTAAAATTTGTTTTGTCCCAGCTTGTTTTGCCGTGCAATTGCTTTTTACACTTTTTGAACCCGCTTAGAATAAAATAAAAAATTAAAGATTCGCAGTGTGTGTTAAAAACTTTCAGCTTATCATCTTAACTATGGCTGAGCAAGAGCCTGTTAACAATAGCGTAAGTAAAAAAATAAAGTTTTCGCCTGTACCTAAATACATACATAATGCATAGGTAAATATGTAAACATAAAATTGATTTGCAGGACACAGAAACCGAAAGTGCTGAGGATGAAATTGAACCAAAATTTAAGTATCAACGTATTGCCAATGACCTGCGAAAAATTCTCAACTCAGATGTTGTCACCTGTAGTGCAGTGCACCCGAAGGTATGTACTTTTTTCGCGTTTAACAGAGACTACATAAAACATTGAGAGAAATACATAAAAGTTATTATAAAGAGATATCATTCATAATTTATTTTACAGTTTTTGATGTTTGGCACGTTTTTGGGCCGTATCTATATATTCGATCACCAAGGCAATTCCGTGACTTCACATCTTTCAGATGCTCCAACCGATTTTTCACATACTGTCGCCGTCAATCACATGGATGTAGACGCCAAGGCAGAATACGTGGCCACTTGCTCTGATGACGGCAAGGTTGGGCTTTTATTACAATACTTTCAAACAATTATCTAAAAAATCAACAATTTTTAGGTAAATATAACCGGCCTATTCAGTGATGAAAATAATCAGAACTTGAACTTCGCGAAATCGATAAAAGCAATAGCTTTAGATCCAGATCCCAAGACACCTGCTGGAAAACGGTTTGTTGTAGGTAAGCATGTTTACAAATCGCACACGTTCAAAAGTGGCAACACTCAAAAAAAAAGGTCGAACTAATGCAAATAGGTTATTCTTCACATAAGCAGTTATTTTTTCGGATCTGATTTTTGAGTTGTGCCTCTTTTGTAGATGGTGTGCGATATTTGGATTAACAAAGATATACGAATCGCAAACAATCTTCAAAAGTGACACAACTCAAAATTTAGCATTGTGAAAAGCTTAAAAGAAAATAATTTTTCTATTAAGAAGTATATTGGCTCATGTTATGTAAGGGTGGCATTTATTGATCTAAATTTTTTTACAGGCGATGATAAGTTAACGCTGTATGAAAAGAATTTTCTCAAGAAATTAAAGACAACCGTGTTATCCAGCGCTGAGGGATATGTATTATCAGTTTGCTGGAATGGTACCTTCATTGCATGGGCCAGCTATCTAGGGGTGCGGGTCTATGATCTAAATGAAAAGTGTTCATTAGGTCTAATGAAGTGGGAAGAACCAGCAAAGTAAGATATACTTATCCTACTTAAAATTCTCATTCATTCAAGTCATTGAAGTTTTGATTAATTTTAGCTCCCGCTTAGAGAATTTCCGTTGTAATTTCCGCTGGTCAAATGCAACAACTTTGCTTATAGGCTGGGTGGATACAATACGGATCTGTGTCATACGGAGACGAAATTCTATTGAAGTAGCTTCACGAGATTTGCCCGGTTTCATCGTAGACCCGAGTATGAACAACCTTTTCACCATTTTTTTACAACAAAGAAATAAAATTGAAAATTTTGTCAGTTTCAACATTTCAAACAACCTTCCACATATCCGGCTTGGCGCCACTCACATCCAATCAATTGGTCGTATTGGGTTGTCCAAAGGAAAAAGATGCGGAACGTAAATCACTGAGACCGGTGCTTTGTGTTATGGAGTATAAGTTGAATTCCAGCGAAGAGATTTGCACTGATAGTCTGTCATTGCGTGGGTAAGGAACAATTATAGAATTTCACTTAAAAAGGATTTCATGTATTGAAAAAAATTGCCTTTCAGATATCAAGAATATACAGTTAATGATTACAGTTTAGGATGTATTATTGAGGAAAATCGTTATTTCATTGTTGCACCAAAGGATATAGTCGTTGCAAGTCTTTACGAAACGGATGATAGGGTCAAATGGCTAGTTGACCATCGGTAAGTGTGCAATTTTTTTGCTGATATAGATATATTTCGAATCACTTGCGATTTATGTTATCAGTGCTATGAAAGCTTTCTAAGAGAAGAGAATTTTATACAAAAATATTTATGAATTTTTGAATAATTTGGTTACTAAGCTAATTTTAAAAATCTTCATTTTTTATATTAGTTAGAAGTTTATTTGTCTGTAGATTTTTATTAAATACCCAAATATACGCTTTTTATGTATGAATAATGCATAATATGTAAAATTGATATACTCGCATACGTATACATAAATATGTACATATCCAACATGCAAAATAAACTTAAAGGTTTTTTAAGAGTTTACTAAAATTAACAAAAAGCGTACCAAACGCAAAATTTTGGTTTATAAAACACTTGAAAAAACGGTAATATAATAAAAACGGCCACCTTGTTTATAAGCGTATGAATATAAATTTATAATAAATACACTGGTTTACAGCAAAAATGTTCAATGGATGCCACTATCCAATTCCTATAAAGAATTGCTCGCTGATTCCGGAAATCGACTTAATTTTTTATTCTATGGATAGGTTTTCAAGATATTTTCAATTTACCGTTATTCAGCTTAAAACAAAAAGTGGTTACTTTGCATATAACTATATGTATCTCGAAAACGTATCCATAGAATATAAAATTTAATCGATTTTTGGAATCAGCGGGCGATTCTACATACAAATTTGTTAGTGGCGTCTGGAGAACAAAACCAAATTAAAATTTTTGATCCAGTGATATTAATAAAAAGAAAGTATATTTTCTTGGTATGGCTTCGTCGTAAAAATTTGCATTTAACTTTTAAAATTAAGTGATTTTTAAAAATTAGCTCTAAACAATTGTATGTAAAAGGTTCATTTTACTTAAAATCAACTTAACACTATAGCACTTATTTAACACTTAATATAGCAAGCTTACTTTAAGTTACTTTTACCAACATTTACAAAAATAATTGTTGGATATGTATGTATGCAGAAATAGTAAAGCCTCTGCTCGGATTGGTTTTTTGCATGTTTAAGATTATTACTGCCTACTTTACGATTGTATCACAGCATTTATCAGCCGGGCTCAACCAATCATAGAAATAAGGCTTAATGATATTGCTTTGGTCTTTGTCATCAATTGCCTTTCCACCTCTTATACATACACTGCCGTCATCTATCTGCTGCATTTCCTCCTCGTTTAGCTTGTGCAGTACTATGTGATATCGACGGCACTTCCGCGGTTTATACTGTGTATCAAAACGTGGATCATGACGACGATAGACAAAGCGTAACGGGGCCACCCATAAACCAACTGATACATCTTCATTTGTATAAGGCGAAAGTATTTGTGCATTTGTTGCAATATGTTCACAGATTTTACGTGAAATCACATATCCACCTCCCATGGCATACGTTATATAATGGGTAGATAGACGGTAGTTTATATCCCGCCACTTTCCTTTTGTTTTCACATTCGACCTTCCTTGAAAATAACCCCAGTAGAGAGCTGGTAATGGTTGGCCATTATACTTCGTGGTTTTTCGCACCAATTTACGGTCATAAGACACGAGTTCATTCAGCAAAATGTTCAACTTCACGTACGTGTCATCATCCGTTTTAAGTAGATAGCTGAATTCGTAGTGATTTGTAAGTGCTTCTATAGAATGTAACATCTTTTCGGTTAAATTTTCAAAGTTGTCTTGCAAACGCGGTAAAAGCAACATGTCTCCATAAAGTTTTTGCTCCCTATCCAACTCTGCACGTAAGCCGGCAGGCATGCCTTCCGTGCCAACGGCAAAAAAATGTTTCACTTTTATAAGTCTCCGCGATAATTCTTCATGATTCATGTTGTTATCGATCCAATGAAGGTAAGCTGCCAAACGATTCGATTGGTCCGTCACGCTTTCCATAATTAAATGACCACTTTCAGCATACTTGGGCACATATATCAAGCTTTCCGGGTAGTAAGGCATTTCGAGCGGTTGCCCAAGCCTCAACCAAGTTTGACGCAGCTTGTGTCGCCGATTAACATTCTTTGGAGCTGTAACCACCAATATCATCAAGAAAATATCTGGATGTGGCTCCATACGACTGACACCGCTCTTATGCGTCAAACACTTTTCTGCGCTATTTAGCATGCCACTTAAGAAGCAGCCAAAGAAAAAAGCCACCATTGCAGTAAAGAGTGTTATCAGATTATTCAAGCGCTTCATTTTTTGAGAATAAACAGCAGCCGTGACATTTTTTATTTCATTTTCACGCTCCGTTTTGCGTGTCTGAAGCGAACGAGCGGATGAACGGATAATTGTGAAGCTGTTGTCCTTCCGCACCCTAGAAAAACCAAACGAAAGTGCGGATGTGTGTACGAGTATGTGCCAATAAATATTGCCTTGCTTCTACATGCTGATACTGACGTGCGTGTAATTTTCGTTTGGCTGAAAAATTGAATACGATCTCTTTAAAAAGTTAATTCATTTATTAAATTTCTACATACCAACGCTTATAATTGACACTTTTTTATTAAAACAATGTGCGAAATCTACTTGTTACCGATTTTTCATTTTTTTTAATGGCCCAAGTGAAAACAGTGGTGCCACATCGAAAGTAATTACGTTGGTGTGGCAACACTTAACTTCCGTCGCCTGTTGTTGTGAAAGAGGGAAACAATTATGTTTCAGGATATAAAAAATCGTTTAGTAACTTCTATTGATACTCTCATTAATTATTTTATAGCGATAATTTTAATTTAAAAGTCAAAATATTCATTAAATTTTACAGCAAATTTGAAGAAGCAATGGAAGTTATATCAACACACGGCGGAAGCTGGTCGTTACTATCTGTAGCCAAGTATGTATCGCGTTTTATTTAATATGTTTATTTGATTTTCTAACTTAAAAAATATGCATCTTACACATAGGCTGTATATAAATCACCTACTCGCGATGAATAAATTCGACGATGCTGCTAAATTATGTCTACGTGTTTTGGGCAACAAAAAATCTCTTTGGGAGGAGGAAGTGTTCAAATTTGTGAGATGCCAACAGTTGCGTTCGGTTAGCGCTTATCTACCTACCTCCGACGACTGTAAGCTTGACCCTCATGTATACGAGATGGTGCTATATGAGTATTTAAAATTTGATGTCAAGGGATTTTTGAATCTCATAAAAGAATGGCCATCTCATTTATATAATTGCACGGCAGTCATAAACGCAATACACGACAATTTTCGAAAACAGAATGCGAATGAGTTATTAGAGGCACTAGCAATACTCTATTTGCATCAGCGTGACTATGAAAGTGCATTGAGAATGTACTTGAAGTGAGTTGTTCGAAATTATAATTTTCACAATTTCATTTTAAAGATAAAAAAAAAAAAAACTGTTAAATTGCAGATTACAAAACTCTGATGTATTCGAAATGATTCGGCGTTATAATCTCTATGATGCTATACATAAAATGATTATACCACTGCTTCAACTGGATCGTGAGCGTGCCTTTAAAGTTTTATTCGAACGAAACAAAATATCACCGGAAATTGTTGTACAGCAATTGGAGCAAAATCAAGAGTATTTATATTGGGTGAGACTGAGCAAATGACTTATACTGTAATACTTGCGCTTTAAATAAATTGGTTTTTACAGTATTTGGATGCTTTGGACAAAGTCGACAAAAGTGGTAAATACCATTGGAAACTGGTGAAGTTGTATGCAAAATACGAACCAGAAAAGTTGCTACCATTTCTAAAACGATCCAATCACTATCCCATGCAAGAGGCTTTGGATGTATGTAAACGTGAATTATTTTACCCTGAAATGGTATATTTGTTGGGCCAAATGGGTAATACCACGGAGGCGTTAAATATTATCATTGAGAAGGTAAGTGAAACTTATTGTCTATTTCAAATGTCCGATTTAACTGAACGAACGTATTTGGCTTAGATAAAAGATATTGAAATGGCAATTGAATTCTGTAAGGAGCACAATGATTCGGATTTGTGGAATATACTGATCGATGAATCAGTGAAGGAGCCCGCCATTGTACTCAAACTCCTGGACGGTATAGTAGGTAAGTGTGTGGCATAAGAAAGTATGTATATACATAGTATGTATTACATTAATAAGAATAAAATAAACGAGACGACAAATAACGGATTCCCGTTAACATTTCCATAGATTACGTTGATCCTGTCGCAGTTGTTGAAAAAATTAAACTTGGCCAAAAAATACCCGGTCTTCGCGATGCTGTAGTTAAGCTTTTGTGGGACTATCGTTTACAGGTAGGTACAATCATGCATATGTACGTGGATGAAAAATTCATTCAATAATTTAGGTGGAAATTCGTAAAACCGCGCAAGAGATTCAACTACAATACTATTATGACCAACATGCTAGAGTAGTTAATACGCAAAATCGGGGCCGTTGCGTGTCATCTTCTGAGCATTGCTTAAAATGTAATCGTTCTGTACTTAGCATGAACGCAAACATTGCGCCTCTAAATGATGTTGTTGTATTCTTATGTGGTCATGTCTACCATTCTAAGTGTGTTCCCGGCGGCATCGAGGATGAACACTGCGAATTTTGCAATCCCAGCGATTTTAATAAAGATGACGACTTTGCACTGCTCTTGCAATAGAAACCTATCATAGATTTTAATTATATCAAAAGGATTTTTTATTCATCAAAACAAAGCGCCTAGATTAGAGTGAAAGGTCGCTGATATCAATTATTTCAAAAGTACAGAAGAGCTCCTCAAAATAATTTTTTTAAAGTATTTTGCAAAACTTTGAATACAACACATTCACGTATTCACAGCAAAACTAACATCCACATAAATGGGTTGAACTTGATTTTATTGAAAGGTTTTCATATTCCTCTGAACTTTTCGAATTGGCTCGTGTCTTTTTCGTACTGGCAACTGGTAGCTCGACCCTTTTGGAAATGAGGCACTTTTACTTTTCCTTGCTTCCCTCATCAAAAAGTTCCTTTTTACCTCCCTTTTATTAGCTCGGGATGTAACTATGTAATATTGATGCGCCTAAAACATGCAGCGATTTCTATTCTCAAGTTACATATGTACCTGATGATAGTACGAATGGAAATTATAATAACGAGGTTTTAGTTTTTTAAACTATAATTTTATTATTTATATGTATGTATGTATGTTTCACTCTAAGCTAGCGTACGATTTACATTATTTAGCAAAATAAAACGATCATCAAATCAAAACAAAATTTAAAAAATATGGTTAAAGATCTGTTAATATGCTGTAGTTTAGGCGAGCAGCTAGTGCAATTCGGTAGACGTACATAAAAAGAAAATACAACATCGCGTAAAGCCTTTAAAAAGCTTGCATAGCATGCTCTAATCACTTGTAAAATATTCCTAAAAACTGTCTACTTTCTCAAGGATACAAATATAATTCCTCTTCAATGCTATTCTATATATTATTAGCTATTTAGACTTAAGAAATTTATTAACGTTGTGGATGTTTGTAAAAGGGTCGCACTCCCGTTGAATACGAAAGAACAAACCGCAACCTTCTTATTTCGCTGCTAAGATGGATTACTTAAAACCCATATTAAGTATTAATCACATTTTTTTGAAAATAAAGCTTTTATATGAATGTATTCTCATTTTTTTGTTGGGTTGGATGAGCAGCACGAAAATTAATTTTGTGGATAAAGTTTCTGAAGCCAACCGGGCCGTTGGCCAAGCAGACCAAAGTTCAAAGCCACATCTTAAAAACTACGAGAATTATTTGCATCTTTAGAACAGCTCTGTAAGCATGTCCTATGAAAACATGAAGGGCTGGTTTCTCCAACTCAACTCAACTTGGTTTGCCACTGTTTGGACTTAAGTCAAAAGTTAGCCTACGTTTTATACAGCTTATTCTTGACTAAGTCAAGAAAATTGGCATAACTAAGTTGAGTTGGAGAAACCAGCCCTAAGTATGTTTTTCTTCTGCGAAATGACATATGTTTCAGTTACGGCCTTTGCATTAACGGTGACTACATATTCCCACGATCTCTCGACAAATTAAAAAAGAAAAGAGTTGTTTTACTGTAAATAAAATCCTATATTATTATTTTAATATAATAATAAAGTTTTAGTTTTCCCCACATGTCCATTTGAGCGCATTTAGGCCTCAGACTCGGACTTCAGCTTGGCAATGTATGCAGCCTTGTGTTCGGCGACCTTCACCT